AGAGGGGTCAACAAGGCATATAGCAACAAGAATACCATCCCCACTGGAAGCATGGTGGTGGATCACAGGTGTTTTAGATGTGTGTGAGCTCTAAAGGCATGGAGAATCTTGTGAAAATTGATGGCAAGATAATTGAAGCAGGTTATCAGACTTTATTGGCAAATTGCATTCTTCTGCACAAAAGCAGCACATGGTGTGCTTTTAGACTTTCCAGCACGAGAATGACCCTAAGCACAAGGCCAAGTTGACCCTCCAGTGGTTTACACCAGAAAAAAGTGATGGTTCTGGAGTGGCCATCCCAGCCTCCTGACCTTAATATCATCAAGTCACTCTGGGGAGATCCCAAACAAGTGGTTCATGCAAGATGGATGGGCAGCTATAATACCTGCAAGAATTCGGGGCCTCATAGACAACTAGAAAAGCTACAATTTCTGGGTAAATTGTGTGAAGTGTTCTTGCCTCCACCAGTAGTCTACAACTGGAGTGGACGAAGTAACTGGGTGAAGTGGCTCGTCACTCTGCTGCCTGCTTACACACCTGGGTTCCTATGGCAACTCACTCTACAGCATGGGCAGAGAAGAGCGGTTAAAAACAAACTGCTCCAACTTGCTCACTTCACTGGCGGTTGCCATCTTCAAACGGTTGTAGTTTAAAAATTATTAATCCTACACCGAAGAGCTTTATATTGTGAGAATCACAAGACCCAGACCTACATTTGATGCATAGTATGTCTCTGAAATATTAAAAATAAAGGCACAGTTGCAGTTTAGAAATTGCCCTTCAAATTTGAGGTGGCTACAGTGGAGTTTCAATGAATGTCAATGGGCGGCGTGAGTTGCAAACAAAGGGTCATATTGTGAAAACTATCAGGACTATGGCTTAGCCGTAGACATTTTTAGTGGCAACAGGGATAGCTGAACGTTTTGATATATGATTTGTGTAGGTGGGCTTGAAAATGAGGGAATGATGGCAGTTTAGAAATCATGTCCTGATTTTTCAGCTCACACTCTAGCTTTTGTCAGCTCCCACTCTTGTTTTGAATATTCCACCATTCATTCCTATGGGACCAATTTCACCACAAAAACGCCGATATTTCATGAACCATTTGGCGAAACTTTCCACAAAGTAATAGCACACCAATCGGGAACAATCCGCACGTTTCGGTGTATTACTGTCTATGTGGTGTAAAAACTGTGGGAGGAGTTAGGGTGGTAAATTTAGCTATAATAATAAGAATATATATGTGAGATAACAGTAAGTGGTCTTGCCATGCAAGAACACTTAATTACAAAAGACTACACACTGTCAGTGATGCTAAAGGGGTCAATACACAGTATTAAGAACTAAGGGTATGCTGACTTTTGAACAGGGGTCATTTCATTTGTTTATATGTTGCTATGATTTGTTTTATGAGTGTGCCATTCTGTTATGACCTACAGTTGAATATGAATCCCATAAGAAATGTGTTTTGCCTGCTCACTCATGTTCTCTTTAAATTGTGCAGTATATTACCAATTCTCCAAGGGTATGCAAACGTTTGAGCACAGCTCTATATACACTGGGGAAAGGGTGATTCCTAAAGTCCAAGCAGGGAAATAGCACCTTGCCCCAATTATCAGGGATAGGCAAAACAAGTAAACTTCCTGCTACCTCCTAACACCCTCTTGTAGGCCAATCAAGACAGTTGAAAACTCCACACCTGAAAGAAGAGGTGCACTTTCAGGTGCACTTTCAGACAAGGTGCACTTGCTCCTTTTGTCCCCCTCAGCTGGCCTAACAGATGCCACCCTTACCTTCCAGAAATGCATACTTATCATGCCTGCAGTCTCTGGGGTTTTCTTACATCCACTTCATACAAGTCTGCTGTCTCCTACCTGCACAGTAGAGCTCCATAGATGTCTATTGTCTGAAAGTGCACCAATTCCTGAAAGATGACAGGGGGAAAATGTCAGTGGCATATCGATGATGGTGTGATAGGATACATTATCCTGCTGAAATAGGCCACTGCCATCAGGGAATACTGTTTCCATGAAGGGGTGTCACAATGTTTAGGTGGGTGGTACGGGTTAGGGTAGGGGTCAAGGTAACATCCACATGGGTAGGATCCAAGGTTTTCTAGTAGAACATTGCAAAAAAATCACCAAATCATCACAATGCCTCCACCAGCTTTCATAGTTACATAGATAGTCTGACTGAAAAAAGACAAAAGTCCATCCAGTTCAACCATTTAAAAAAAAAAAAAAAAAAAGTTATAATCCTACACTCACAGTTGATCCAGAGGAAGGCAAAAACATAAAACCCAGCAAAGCATGATCCAATTTGCTCCTTCTTCCCATTTTGCTTCCCCAGGTAAGTGATGAACACACACCCGGCCATCCACACGATATAAAAGAAAAAGTTATTTATCAGACCAGGCCACCTTCTTCCATTGCTGTGTGGTGCAGTTCTGCTCACGTGCCCTTTGTAGGCAATTTTGGCTGTGGACATGGGTCAGCATGGGCACCCTGACCAGTCTGCAGCTAAGCAGCCCCATACACAACAAACTGCGATGCTCAATTTTTCTGCTTTCAACACATCAACTTCAGGGAAAGCATGTTCACTTCATGCCTAATATATCTCACCTACTTTCAGATGCCATTGTAATGAGAAACATAGAAAAGTGACGGCAGAAAGATTGTGTGGTCCATCAAGTCTGCCCGTGTTTTTCTTTTTCTTGGGGGGGTGGGTGTTTTGTGTTTTTTTTGTGCTTTTATGTGTGTTTTTTTTTTTTTTTTTTTTTTTTTAAGTGTTACTAAACCCAGGATCCTGCATTCACTATATCTGGTCTCCCACAGTACACTGAACATGGACGTGCAATTCTTTTAGTAAATATAAACTGCTAAATACCTTTTCTCATCAGAGTAGTCTTGTGACTTCTATCAGTGTTCAGCAGAGCACTGGTTAAAGTTTGTAAGAGGAGTTTGTATTCTGCTGTAGGAGGATGCAGGACCCCTGACCTCTGTCTGGACAGTGCTGATCACATACACTCTCCCAAGGGAAAAAAAAAATCTCTAGCAATACACACCAAACTGATCATGTGCAGAGTGACTCAATATGTCTTATCACGAGATAAGAGGGGGACACTGGAAGAAAGGCAGGATCAGAGAAATCAGAGTATAAATCATTAACCACTACTCCTCTGAATACAATCTTTTAGCCAGTTTTCTATCCATTTACATACAGATTTTTCCCAGCCTGTAGACTGTACCTTACACATTAGCTGCTGTGTGTGGGGAACTGTGTCAAACGCTTTTGCAAAATCCAAGTATACCATGTCCACAGCCACCCCTCTGTCCATGGTTTTGCTCACCTCCTCATAAAAAAAATCAGATTTGTTGGACAACTTCTGTCTTTCATGAATCCATGCTGTCTGTTGCTTAAAATATTTTTTTCCAGCAAGAACTCATCTATGTGATCTTGTATTAAACTCTCCAGTATCTTCCCAACTATAGATGTTAAACTAACAGGTCTATAATTACTTGGTAAGGATTTTGACCCCTTTTTAAATATTGGCACCACATTGGCCTTATGCCAATCCAGCAGCACTATGCCAGTCATGAAAGAGTCCCTAAAAATTAGAAACAATGGCTTTGAAATGACAGACCTCAATTCTTTAAGGACTTGTGGGTGTATGCCATCCAGTCCAGGTGCTTTATTTACCTTTATTCTGTATAAATATTTCTGGATCATATCAATTTTGAGCCAATATGGAACATCTGGAGCTGTGTCAATATCATGCCCATTATGGACATGAGCTCCCCCATGCTCCTTTGTATACACAGAGCTGAAGAAGGTGCTTAATAAATACAGCAGGGATAGCACAGCAGCTCTGGCAGACAAAGGGTTAAGTCTGGCAGGTAAAGGGTTATTCCGCGAAAGGAACTGGACACACAGCAGGAATGGACAGGGATCCAGCACAACAGGGGCTAAGTCCTTAGCACAGGGTGTCACACTAGTACAGCAAAGCTTAGTCCAGAGTCAATGAGCAACAATCTTGGCCCAGTGAGTAGCAGGTTTACAAACTGGTACAGCAAAGTCCAGGAGCACAAGGCAGCAATTCAGGGACTCACCAGGCAACAGTGGCCTCAGCAGAGGAAGTCTAGACATGGAGAAAGAGGTCCAGAAAACAGAGTTTCCTTACCAAAACATCACTGGTCCTCGGAGGGCTGTGTGTCCTGGCCACAGCTTCAAGACCAAACAGGCAACAGCTGATGGAAGAGCAGAGGATAGGGAAAAGTCCCAGTGTTTGGAACGCCACACAGACAATGCAGAACTACAAGTCACAACAATGCAGAAAGCAAAGCACAGAACTATCTGTCTCAGCACTTCAATGCATTTTCTTGCAAGACCTGCAGCCATGAGCTCCTCTGTCCATCACTGAAGTAAGCTCTGAACATTCTTCCAACATAGGTAAATTATATTGTCCTTTCAATTTGACCAAACCTCAGGACCCCCAGTGCCGGCACGTCTTCCTTTTCCCAGCTGCAGTACACAGTGCTGTCTGGGCCTCGTGCTGAGATCAACCTCATCTCCCACGCCCTGCGGGGCTCAGGAACTCATAGATTTAATTAAGCAGAAAAGCTGACTGCTTGACACACTTGTTGATTTCAACAAAACAACACAAAAACAAAATATTTCTGCGCTCTGTCACAACCCCTCCCCCTTTTCCAAAACATGTACCTCTCTCTCATAAAGCTGCTCTGGAAGATTCCTGGAAATTAAGTTAACAGATCCCTGTTTCCTCTGCATAAGTGAAGAAAATTTTATCCAAAGCGAACCTTAACCGCCTCCCGCCCGCCGTATAGTACAATGACAGGCGCAAGGTGGTTCTCTTTTTCTGGGAGGACGTCATATGACGTCCTCCCATTCTAACCGCGCATGCGCGGCCCGGGAGCGCGCAGTGCAGCGATCAGTGATGCGCTGTGTCCCTCGGACACAGCGGATCATCGATCAACGGAAAGAGCCAAAGATGTCGGCTCGGTCATGTGATCAGCTGTGTCCAATCACAGTTGATCGCATGTAAATAGGGAAATGCCGGTTATTTCTCTCCTCACGAGCTGTCAAGCGGATAGCTTGAGAGAAGAGGAGAGCCAGTAATCGGCATCCCTCAGAGGGGACATGTACACTGATCATCAGGGCACTGATGATCAGTGTGCCCTGATGATCAGTGTAGCCCCAGCAGTGCCACCTGTCAGTGTCCATCAGTGCCAGCTGTCAGTGCTCATCCATGCCACCTGCCAGTGCCCATCAGTGCCAAATCAATGCCACATTTCAGTGCCTACCAGTGCACATCAATGCCACATATCATTGCCCATCTGAGCTGCCTTTCAGTGTCACCCATCAGTGCCAGTCAGTGCCACCTATCAGTGCCAGTCAGTGCCACCTATCAGTGTGCATCAGTGCCCTTCAGTGCTGCCTATCAGTGCCGCCTAACCGTGCCAGTCAGTGCTGCCTATCAGTGCCACCTATCAGTGCCATATATGAGTGCTGCCTTTCAGTGCCCATCAGTGATGCCTGTCGATGCCCATCAGTGCCACCTCCTCATCAGTGCCACCTATCAGTGTCCATCAGTGCAGCATATCAGTGCCCATCACTGCAGCCTCATTAGCACACATCAGTGAAGGAGAAAAATCACTTATTTACAAAATTTTCTAACAAACACTAAGAAAAAAAGTTGTTTTTTTTTCAAAATTTTCAGTGGTTTTTGGTTTGTTTAAGAAAAAAATAAAAAACCCAGAGGTGATTAAATACCACCAAAATAAAGTTCTATCTGTCACAAAAAAATGATAAAAATGTCATATGGGTACAGTGTTGCATGACCGCGCAATTGTCATTCAAAGTGCAACAGTGCTGAAAGCTGGAAATTGGCCTGGGCAGGAAGGGGGTACAAGTGCCTTGTAGGGTAGTGGTTAAAGGGGCCGGTAATGTAATTGGGTCCAGAGACTGTGAGAAAGGAAGGAGGGCCCCCAGTAGTCATAAAGTGGTGGAGGAGCAGGAGAGCTGAGGAATCCCAGTATATCAACCAGTATAAGCGCATTCTAATTTATTTAAGGTGAGAGTTCTGTGAGAACTGAGGTGGCACAACCTGAATGTATGCAGCACTTTAAGAGACGGTGATGGTTTTGTGAGCACGTGAGAAATTCTATGAATTATCAAGGAAGTTGATGTAAAACTTCATCCACGTTCACTGCTTTCATTCAAATTGCATCGACTTGCTTGTATGGACATTGCATTTTTTTTAACATATATACACACTATGATTTATGCATTGTATTATGCACACTTGATGATTTCATTTATTGCTTATTTAATGTTTCCAATTTTTTGATTATTTGTTATTTACGTTTCACATTAGCAGCGCAGCATTAAGCTGATCGGTTTATTTATGATTATGTTGTGGGAACACAATTTTTGATGCTAGTAGCATAGTGACACTGAAGGTAGTGCAGGAGTATTCCTTACCTTTAATGTGTATCTATATCCTTCCATCCAACTTCCAGCAACTTTATCTATCTTTTCCTCCTCCGACCACTACTAACTCTCCTTTTCTCTCTTTCTTGAGACCAGTGACTAGGTGTTAGGGTACCTTTTAAGGCTTAGATCGTTGGTTTTGCCCATGTATAGAGAGAAAACACGCCTCTTATGGTGTAGTATATTAAAATATTCACTTATTTATTTAAATATATATTGCACTTACAATTTTGTATAAAAGAATAGCTTGTGTTACAGAGAGATTGGAAAACACTCACTTCCGGTTTGTGTCTGCCTCTGCGTGCCCTACATGTTGTGTCACCGTCATGTGACTTCTTCAGATCTCAGTGTGCTCTCATTCAATGATCAGACTTCTGCTACCCTCCCCCCCCTTTCACAGCCATTCACTAGGTAGATAAGTGTTCTGCTGTTTCTCCTCCCCCAGCGCTCTGTTCTCAGCTGCATAAAGAGCTTAGAGGGTATGTGATCACTTAAAAAAAACAGGGAAAATGTAGTTATAATGTTTCTTATATGTATACACAAATGTTTTACATTTCATTTCTATTTTAAACGGAATGGTTTGTTTTAGAAGGTGAGGGTTTACATATCCTGAAAAATTATCCAGTTCTTTTTGTATTATCTCCTTTGTGTGAAATCCCTGGTGTTCCTGCCAGTCCATCTGCTTTCCTATTAAAAATTGACCACACCAAGCAGGAGAGTACAGTGTGGTCAGTTTGCTGGCTGTGCTGAGAACTCATCCGGCTCTCCTCAAATTATCAGACTTCTGTTAACCCCCCCCCCTACCCCCTTGGACAGCCATTCACTGGGAAGATCAGTGGATTGCTATTTCTCCTACCCTAGCATCCAGTGAGTGGATTAACCCTGTGCTGCCTGGATCTCTGCCTGTGTGGATTTAACCCTCTGTGTCCTGCTCCCTGCATCCAGTGAGTGGATTATCCCCGTGCTGTCCAGATCTCTGTCTGTGCTGGACTTAGCCCAATTCTGCCCGAAAGCAGCTGCAGGCATCATCCTGCTATTGTTTTTTTTCAGCCGGCGATCGGATTTCATGTAAAAGCAATCCTAGTGGCTAATTAGCTGCACGATTGCTTTTACAAGCAGCGGGAGAAGATGACCCCTTCCCCTGTTGCCTTCCACAGCCTTCTCGGGCAGTCCCGTGCCATCGGGGGAACATGAGAATGCAGCCGATGTTTCTGCCAGCTGACCATACGGCTGAGACCGGAATGGTGTCAATCATCTCTACAGTCTAAGAAATCGGAAGCTACAAACATTTCCTCATTTCAGTTTCGCAGGATATAAACGGTGCCATTTGTAAATTGGGAAAGCATCTGATCACACTGATCTTGGTGTGATTAGATAATGTAAGGGCAGAGGAGAGATCCAGAGTCTGATAGACCCCAGATTTCTCAAAAAAGAATATATGACAATGCCCATGTATGCAGTTTGTTGCCATTGCGCGGGGCATGCACAGTTTTAAAGCATGTCATGTTTGGTATCTATTTACTCGGCATACCGTCTTCTTTTATATGCACCAAATAATTGGCCAATATATTATGTTTTTTTGTGCATTAAAAGTAAAAAAAAGTAAATCTTTTTAAAAAAATTGCGTTTCAAAAATCGCTGCGCAAGTATTATGTAACATACAAAATTACAGCACCCACCATTTTATTCACTAGCGTGTCTATTTTAGAAAATATATATAATTTTTGGGGGTTCAAAGTAATTTCCTAGCAAAAAATACTGATTTTTTTCATGTGAACAAAAAGTGTCAGAAAAGTCTTGGTATTCAGGTGGTTAGAAGAGTGAATGATGTGCAGCTTAAACTTCTAATGCTGGGCATAAAATGCCCCCACCTCCCAAAATGACCGCTTTTTGGAAAGTAGACACCCCAAATTATTTGCTGAGAGGCATGTTGAATCAATAGAAGAATTTATTTTTGTACTACAAGTTTTTGGAAAATGACAAAAAAAATTATTTTTTTTTTTTCACAAAATTGTCACTTAAATGATTTTTTTGCTCACACGTGCCATGGGTATATGTGGAACTACTCCCCAAGATTAATTCTGCTACTTCTCCCGAGTATGGGGACACCACATGTGAGAGACTTTTTGGCAGTCTAACCAAGTACAAGACCCCAAAATCCAATAAGCACCTTCAGGCTTTTACCCTAGGTTCACATCTGTGCGGGTGGTGCTGCTGCAGATCCACATGAAAATCCATGAAGCAACACCACCAGCACAGAGAATTGCGGACATTGCGAGCGGGTGCCATTAGTCCTAATGGCATGCCGCCCACACTGGAAAACGCAACCGTACTGGGAACCGAGGTTCCCATGGGGGCTGCGTCTTCCAAAGAAGTGCAGGGACTTCTTCACTGCGTGGCACAGGAGTCCATTCAAATGAATGGGCTCTCGTGCCCTTGTAAAATGCGGCCCGCACTGCCACATATATGTGAACTGAAGGTTAAAGGGCTTTATTTCCTCATTACACTTCCTGACTACCTATCACAGTTTTGGAGGCCCTGAAATGCCAAAATAGCACCAACCCCTCCTCCCCCCCCCCCCCCACATATTTGGAAAGTAGACACCCCAAGGAATTTGATAAAAAGCATGGTGAGTATTTTGCAGATCTTGTTTGTTGCCACAAGTTTTTGGAAAATGAAGAAAGAAAACAAAAACATATTTTTTCCTTTTCTTTTTTATATTTCAAAACCTTGTCAGAAAAATGAGATCTGCAAAATACTCACCATTGCTTTTTAAATTCCTTGGGGTGTCTGCTGCTTTCCAAAAAGGGGTCATTTGGGGGGGGGGGTTTGGTGCTATCCTGGCATTTCAGGGCCCCGAAACTGTAATAAGTAGAGAGGAAGTGAAAGGAGGAAGTTATGCACCTTCAGGCTTTCAAATTCGTCATTGGATTTCAGGCTCCTGTATGTGGCTAGGCTCCCAAAAAGTCTCACATGTGGTAGCCCCATATTCGGTAGAAGTAGCAGAATCTATTTTGGGGTGTAATTCCACATCTACCCATGGCTTGTGCGAGAAATATATAATTTAAATGACAACTTTGTGTTAAAAAAAAAAATGATTTTGTCATTTTCCAGAAACTTGTGGAAAACAAATAAATCTTCCATGGACTCAATATGCCTCTCAGCAGATAGCTTAGGGTGTCTACTTTCCAAAAAGGGGTAACTTTTGGGGGTGTTTGTACTATCCTGGTATTTTAGCACCTCAAGAAATGATGAGCAATCAGAAAGTAAAAGCTGTGTAAATTCCATTATCTATACCATAGTTTGTAGATGCTATAACTTTCACACAAAGCAATAAATATACACTTATTGGGATTTTTTTTTTACCAAAACATGTAGCACAATACATTTTGACCTAAATTTAAGATGAAATTTGAGTTTTTTGGATATTTTGTATGACAGAAATGAGAAAATATTGTTTTTCAAAATTTTTGAACTTTTTTTGTTTACAGCGTGAAAAATAAAAAGTGTACAGGTGATCAAATACCACTGAAAGAAAGCTCTATTTGTATGAAAAAAAGGACATACATTTATGTACCATATTGCATCACCGCACAATTGTCAGTTAAACTAGTGCAGCGCTGTATAGGGCAAAATGGTGTAAATTGCAGTATCTATACCATAGTTTGTAGACGCTATAACTTTCACACAAAGCAATCAATATACACTTATTGGGATTTTTTACCAAAAACATGTAGCAGAATACATTTTGGTCTAAATTTTTGACTAACTTTACTAAATATTTTTTTATAGCCGAAAGTAAAAAATATTGTTTTTCAAAATTTTCGGTCTTTTTTTTGTTTATAGCATGAAAAATAAAAAAGCACACAGGTGATCAAATGCCACCAAAAGAAAGCTTTATTTCTGTGAAAAAAAGGCCAAACATTTCTATTATGTACCATATTGCATGACCGCGCAATT